AAGATTATCGGGAGAAGGGCAGCCTGTCGCAATAATGTGCCGGCTCCTCCATGGGTGCCAACAGCTTCAGCTCCCCGGGACGGGAAAGGGCTACTCCTGTATAAAGCAGGTGGCCGTACCAAGGCATCCAAGCTCTTCAGGAGGGTATCAACGGCACCCTCCCCTCCACGTGACACCCAAAACTGAATGGAAACGACAGTGGATGGAGAACTTCCTTCTTGTGCTGCAAGTAGTACATGTTCAGTACTAGGTACTCAAACAAATCTACATCACAAATGTCACAGCAAGCATTGCCTGGTTGGAAAGGGCTAAACTTGAGATGCTTTTGCACCTTTCTGATCTCCACATACTTTGTTCTCAGCTCTGACACAAAGGCAACAAGAAAATGAAATAAATCGTCCCAAAATAAAGTTGGAGAAAACAACACATCCCTGGCTCCTGTTTCCAGATCCATCACAACTTGCATCTCAGGCTTCAGCTCAGCCTGCCATCCACGTTCCTAATCTGAGCAGGTCTTCACTTTCTGAGAGCTCCTGAATCACGATAGTCTTTGAGGCTTCACACTGCTGATGGAGCTTGCTCACTCCGTATTACTCCCTCGCATGCCTAACCTCCTTCCTGGCTCAGGCGCTGGCTTCTTAACGCGGATTAATTAGTTGTCTCTTCACCCTGTTTGCTTCCTGCCTCTCTGCACAAAACCTGACAGCACACCACCTCTCCTCCCCACTGCTTTACACAGGTCCTCCTGCACTCTTCATCCGTTTCCTTGGAGCCAGCTTCTCCTTTGTGTTCTGAACAACAAACACAACCCTGCTCATCTCTTAGTCTGCCTTTTATTCACCTTTTCATCTCATGGTCACAGAACCATTGAACCATTTAGGTTGGAAAAGACCTTCAAGATCACAGAGTCCAACTGTTAACCCAGCTCTGCTAAGCCCACCGCTAAACCATGTTCCTAAGCGCCACATCTCCTCCACCTCCTTGGAGCCTGCACACCAGTGCTTGGTAACTGTTTCAGTGAAGAAATTTTCCCTAATCAATCTAAACCTTCTCTGGTGCAACTTGAGGCCGTTTCCTCTTGACCCAACGCTTGTTACTGGGGAGACAAGACCAACCACCTCCTCTCTGCACCCTCCTTTCAGGGAGCTGTAGAGAGTGCCCGGACCCATCCTGCCCATCAACCGGACACCCATCCGATGCTGTGCCAGGAACGCCACGGACACGGCTTTGCTCTTACAGAGCTCTGGGTCTGGTTTTTCACGTCAGTCCTCCACAGCTGCAATTAACCTTCAGCAAACACTCCTCATGCTTTAAAGAACGCAAGACTGCTGCCAAGACATGCTTGGAGACAGACCCTGGTTGTGGAACTCCTCCTTCCCCTTCCTGCTCGAGCAGCCCGGGGATTTGAATACCCCCAAAACACACAGCAAAAGCTATCGATTTCCTCAGGCCCTTGATGCGGGCTGGGAGGATTGCTCTACACCGCGACTGCGGGTTTTCGTTTGGGGGGCAGTCTTTTACTGAGATTGCCTCAATTAGGATAATTGTTGCTTTTAAATTCTGAACGTACACCACAGTAATTGGCGTATTTCATAAAGTTAACTTAATTAATCAAGCCATGCCATAAACCGTAGCTGTCGTTAAGCCTGGACAACCGCCTTCTCTCCAAAGGGTCATCTTTAAACCCGCGTGACTCTGCCAGGCTCTCACCTGTCACACTGCAAATCTGGCGCACGCTTACCCTTCAGCTGGACATAAAGCAGGTTTTTTTGGGCAACTTTAGCAAACATATCTCTGTCTTACTGCTGAGAAATGAGAGGCAGGGGGAGAAGCGAGGTGTTTTTTTCCTGTTCTAAAAATATTCATGTCCCTTCTGGATCACTTCTGTTGCCTCTGAGAGAAATGGTAGGAACTCAGCACTTGGCAGGTTGTCCAGGAGCCTCTCAGCTGCCTCATGGAAACAGGTTTTCACTTAGTTCATGTCTGAAATTTCAAAGCAAGTATTTGTTTGCATGCATGATAAACATATTTATCTGTGAGCTCTTTTCGGGCTTGGGGCATGTGTGCAACAGAAACACCAAAAGAAAATTTCCAGGAGACAGACACCGAGAATTGTTTGAACTTGCATGAGAAAGCAGAGCTGGGATTTATTTTCAGCGTGCAGTCATGGAGGGGAACAAGAGCTGTTAAACTCCTTCTGGAGGAGGACACGGACCCAACGGAGTCTCGTCTGATCCCGCACAGTGTGTACGGGATTATTCACTACGCAGGGTGTTGTGGTTTTAATCCATGTCAAGGAATTACTCACAACCAACAGAATCAAACTACACCCGCAGCCAGATGACAGCAAAGAGCTGTTAAGGAAGGAAGGGGAAACGTGAGGATAAGGCATTGTCAAAGTTCAAACTGTCCTTTTACACACAAGTTGTAAGAAACGGGCTAAAATACATAATCACAAACAATTTTCACATCAGGCCCTTGGGTTTACTTAACTGGCTTATAATGTCTGAGGCACAGGACAACAGACGTGCAACGGTGAAGATAAAAATGAGCCTGCAGTGAGCAATGAGATGTGTCAGTCAGCAAAAAAGTCAGGTAGAAGAAAAAAGGAGCTCAGCAAAAACGTGAAGCATACAGCCCGGCAAATTTCTGAGTGCTCTAATCCAAGTGTTGCTGCTGACTCTCTGCAGACCTAGTACTGATTTTAAAAATATTCACCTCGTTCCGAGTGCCTGTAGGGCTGCTATGCAGACAGAGAAGTTATAATCCATAAAAGAATTGTAGATACGTAACAGGCTGCATCCCCATCCTCATATAAACAGCTCTGTTAATGTTTTGCACATCACACTCACACTACTGTGAGCGGGGCTAGAGGGCTCAGCTCATGCTGTCCTGCATGGAGCTTTGGCACAGGCAACACTGATTGGAAAAAGTAACATAATTATTAAAAGCAATCATAATTATACAGGCCAGACTTCAAAAGTCCTTTTAAATGGATCATATAATGGAACATGTCCCACAGAACAAAGCTTTCTACATGTTAAGTCTACAGCATCCCTGTCCTGGGGGTAAGGAAACAAGTCCATCGTCCCAGGCAATGCCAACGGCTCACGCTCATGCTCCAAACTAGCAGGACAGATCACCTGTGTATAAAAAGCTGTCCCCTTGCCAGGCAAGTGCACCTGATGTGGAGGTAATCTCCACTGAAGGAAAACCCTATATGGTTCTCCACTCTGCTATGCTCGCAGACAGGTTCCAACTGCGGAGCTTCAGAAAGACTCTGAAGGGCGGGCAAGTAGCCAACGGGCTCTGCAACGTGTAAGAGAAGTATCTTAGTCAAGGGTGGTGGAAAGTGAACGAGCGGCTCCAGAAAAAGCCCTGTCAAGAACAGAAAAGTGAAGTGAAGAGGTAGGAAAGAGACAGAGAAGTGGGGAAAGGCTGTGCTCATCAGACCCATGAGAAAAGATAAAGAAACTTTAACACAGGTCTGAGCAGGCATAGGAGACAGTGGGGGTAAAGGAAAGCTAACCAGAGAGAGAAGAAAGTGCTTAGATCAGCTGCTCATCCCAAATTGGCAGGTCAGACCTCGAAGAAAGCTGTCAGAGAAGAAAACCCTGTAATTGAGGCAAGAAGCTAACATCACATATTTATCGTTTTCAGGAAAAGGAAGAGTCAAGGGGAGGTGGACTTTCACTAGTGGTCAGCAGGGAAACACTGGTGGAAAGCAGGTGAACATCAAGAGCAGCTCCAGTTGTGAGAGCAGCCGAAAAAAACAAACTGAGGAACAGAACAGTTGCCTGGGATCATACAGTGAAGAGCTCCACATATTAGAGAACGTCTGTAGCACAAATCCAGGCAGCAAGGCAATTAGCACTGCTCTATTTAACTCCTGCTTCGAAGCAGAGGAGCTAGACAGCAGTGGGTTACTTGTTTGTTGGGTTTGGGGTTTTTTTTGGTCCCAGATAATAATCCCAAAATGCCATTAAATGGATCTCTGTAGACAGAAACAGGCCTGAAGTTCTTCCCTGCTCTCTTTGGGGATAAATCTGGAGCTGACAGGGAACTTGAACCAACGCCGATGCTGCCACCATGTGGATGTCTCTTCTGACCGCTCTGAAAACGTTCCCAGCCAGATGCTGACATAACCCAAACACGCTGCACGGTTCAGTCCCTCAGACGCTCGAGGAACTGACGTACACACAACCACTAACTTACCATCACTGCTATTAGTTATAGGGAATAATTACAGATTATACAGAATAATTACAGTATTAATCAGTAGCCTTTTTATTTCAGGATTACGCTTTATCTTAGTTGGCCTTGCTCTTAAACATGTATGTCCAATGCAATTAACTGACCCTCTTGTGACAGAACAGGTGCTTAGTTACGCCCTCCTATCCGCATTCTTTTTACAGTATCTTCGCTATAGGTTGACCATTACTTATGACAGAGTATTAATGGTATTAAAAGGTATTAAACCACAGAAATATAAACTTGTCGCTCCGCAGCTCTTGCTGTCATCATCTAAGTGATAGCAAATAACAGTTGCTTCCTACCTTGCTTTTATCTTTAGCTACTTGGTAGGGACTTCCAGTTTACAGGGAACAGGACTGAAAATTACAGCAGCAGCTTCACTACAACAGCGGGCAGGAGCATTCTGCAACGCTACGGGAACTTTCCAGCAGCCAGCGCAGCGCAATGAAATCGGATCGCTAGGAAAGCACCGACAGACGTGCACACGCACGCGCGTAAGCAGTCATCTAGGAATGGATTAAATTTAGGCCACACAGAGCAGACCACTGCCAACAGCTGGAGCTATATAAATGTCAAGCCAGAACGCAGCATGAAGTTTGCACACCCAGGTAGCAATCAGCAGCCCGAGCTGCAGGTTCAGTACATACGCCATCGCCCAGACAAGAAATCGGCCCCTCAAAAATGCTCATAACCCGGCAGTGGAATCAGCAAGACAAATCCAAATTCTCCCTTTCTCCCAGGCCCACCACTTCATCTCCCCCTTCACTGATATTTTTATTACCTCACACTTGCCACGGAGACCCGTCTCCTGGAGCCGGGACCAGATGCTCTGGATCCTCCCCGCGTGCTCTGGGTGGCTGTTGGTGTTTCCACAGGTACACTGGTGTTTCAGCATCAAGGTGTCATATACAAGGCCTGCAGCAGAGGTTACAAAATCGCTCTCAGTTTAAAACAAAAATAAATTTGCCAGATATATGGAAAAATCCCTCTGTTTCTTTTTTTACACTTTATATTCAACTTCATATTCAACTGAACAGTTCTAGACAAAGACTGTGTGTTTACCAGGACTCCCAGAGCTCTAAGAAATGAAAATCCAGGATGCTGCTTTGAGACAGCACCAAACCTGCAACAATCTTTTCCTCTGGAAATCCCCAACAGATCCAGTAAAGAAATTATTCACCAACATCTCTGCAGGCTGAAGTTGTGAGAGTGACAGGAGGTGGTGACAGCTGAAAGCATCAGTATGAGTACAGGGGGGCCGTGTAGGAACGTGATCTAGGAGGGGACTGACTTGCAACTTTTCCGCTGGGTGCTTTCATGACTGCTGCTTAAAACGACTCCAGGGCTTGGGATTAAAAACCAGAAGGAGTAAGTCGTTAGCAGGCACTATGTTTCATAAAACAGTCTGTGCTGAAGTCTTTGCATCAACATTATTTGACAACATGCTAATTAGGGCTATTAGCGCACGCTTGGACATAATTATTCAGCACGATACGTAGGTATTTAGCAGTGTTGTTTCATTTGAACGTGGGAGTCAGGCAGCTAAATCCTCTTGCATTACCAAGTATTTATGGCATGACAACAGCGTAGGAGACTGATTCATGCACCAGAGTTGCCCGGGTATGTTTTTGGAACGGGAGTTATGATTTCATAGCCAATGTTCCACTGGAGGAAAACAGCAGGTCCTCCACAGCTATGCAGTCCCAGGGACAAAAGACCTTTCTTTTTTTTTTAACTCAAGAAAAAGAGATATAGTTAAATGTTTAAATCTACCCTTCCCTTCAGGAAGAAGCTCCAGAAAACAAAACAAAAGAGGTGGGTTGTTTTTCCCCCAAGGAGTAAGGTTTCTTGCAAGAAATACCTGTTGGAAAGCACAGCATAAAGTCGCAAATCAAAGGTCTTGGTGAGAATCCAAAGCCTCTGAATTAGTGGCAAAGGGAGAAGCTATTCCCAGATCCCAACGTCAAAGGTTCTGCACTCCAACTGATATTGCTCCCCATAAATCTCAGACAAGCACACCTATGCTGGGGCAGGCAGCGTGAATGCAGCTCAAGGAGCTTACCAGAGCTGGCTTTCATGTAGTTCAAGTACTGATAACCATATAATCATGAAGAGGTTTGGGTTGGGAGTGACCTTAAAGACCACCCAGTCCCACCCACCTGCCGCAGGCAAGGACACCCTCCACTAGACCAGGTTGCTCAAAGCCTCATCCAGCCTGGCCTTGAACACTTCCAGGGATGGGGCATCCACACAAAAAAAAGCACAATTTACAACTGCCTGGAGTTCACAGGGGCTTGTAAGAAACCAGGCTCTGAGAACGCAGATGGACACTTGGCCTGGAGCTGAGCGCCGTGCTGCTACAGGTACCCCAGCTTGGCTCTGGCTGCCATCACACCTTTTGACTGAGTGTAGGCATGTTCTGCCACTGAAAAAAATTGGCTTTCTCCTCTGAGACAAACCCTGGCACTGACACTTGCCAGCATTCAGCCTTAGGGGAGGTATCTGGCAACTCCCCGCTTCGCTGTAGGTGAGCGAAAGAAAAGAAAGCCCAACAAAGCCCAAACCGCATTCAGTTCGAGGAAGAGAATGGAGCAGTGCTTAATTGACTGCCTTTGGGTTAGCCAAAGTTCAGGTAACTAAGACCATGCTGCAGAGCTCTGCAGAGGTCTCCCACGTTTGAGTCACAGCACCGATCTTCACTAGGAGCTGCTGGGCAATGCCAAGCACTGCCAGTGCCACCTGAGAAGCAGCTGGACGCCTGTGGTAAGGCTGGCTGCCCGTGAGAACTCCCCCGTCCGAGTTCATTCAAAGTATGCACTGCCTGCGGCAACCTCGCCTCAGGTTAATTCTTTCTGAAGAAAACTCATCTCCAGGCAACAACATGCAGATGTCCTCCTAGACCATCCCAGACTGCACTAGGCTTGGCTAAAATATTGAAAAAAGGAAAGTAGTCCTGCCTTCTCCAACTTCCACATGCATCTACAGGGTCAACAACTACGCCTCATAGACTTAAAGCCAATAGGTGCATTCACATCTATTTAACATACATATTCACAGTCAACACCCAGCCTTGAATTCAAAGAAAAAGAAGTACAGGCTGCAAGTCATTCATCAGGTAGGTGCTGACCTGTCTGGGTGCCACCCTGGCACCCTTGGGTCCACGAGCACTCTGCTGTTGGCACCAGCGAGCCAGGACTGCACCCTCTGAGGGCACTGACCTTAGAGAGCAAGGACTGAAAGATGCTGCAATTGAGGTATTTTGGTGACAGCCAAAGAGAAGGGCAACGGGAAAGCGCGCTGCGTGAAGCACAGGCAAATGAGTGCATCAGGGAATTCACTAATGGAAACGGGAAGAGTAGAATAGGAAAGCTAGAAAGAAGAAGCTGCACCTCATTTCTAAGAGAGGCTGCAACCTGCAGATAAATCTCAGGCTAGTTCACACCATACCTTCATGAGCGTGTGGAAAAACCTAAGCATTTTCAAGCAGTGCATTTTAAGCAGCCTTTTCTTGCCCGCCTCCTGGATTCCCACATGATGCTTAATGCCGATGCTCTAACAAGTGGTTTTGCTACTTGTGAGCTGGGCACAACCTGGCAGTGAATTAAAAGCTAGTAGGGGTCTAAGCCCATTCAGTTGCTGTTTCAAGGGTGTTTTCCCCAAATCTTTAAGCATTAGGAACTCCTGAAAAACGATCGCGATGCAGCCCTAGGTGCAGAGGTAAAGCAATGCCTAGCCAGTCTAAAAAGTCTCTGTCTTGTTCTCTATTTTGTACCTGGGTAACGCTAGAGCCTGGTATGGCAGAAGCCAACACAGATCGAGCCAAAGATAACTGCAAAGCTAAAACCAGCTTTTTGCCTTGACCTTACACTCTGCCGTTCCTCTCCTGCCTTTCTACGGTGCAGCAGATCTGCTGGGTATCTCCCGGGTTCTTTGGAGGGAGTTTAGTGTCAGCTCAAGTAGGCAATGGCATTTATCGACTCATCTTACTCGGTGCCACCTAAGAGCGCTGCAAACACAGGTCGCTGTGGGCGAGATCCCCGGCCACACAAGCCAGCACCTCCTCCCACACATCCCCAAGCGCTGGAAAGCCATACGTGTGTTTAAAATACACGTCTACAGCTAAAAGGGGTTTTGGTAACGGAGCCTATTCAACATAAGTAGACAAAAAGGTTAAAGAAAAGGTTTTCAGAAAAGGTGGTGGTAGCACACCTGCTCATCTCTATTTTTTAAGTTAACGAGGATGACAGCAGGCTTTATAGAACTTGGTCGAGCTATAACTGATCTCCTTTCCCAGTGACCAAATAACAGTAGTGTCCCAATGAACTTCTACACTGTAATCAAACGTCACTCAACACATCTCTTTTTAAAAAGTAAACCACTGGAAAGACGGGAGCAGTTCCAAGTTCCTTCCTGTGGTTGGGGACACTCAGATGAAGACACACACACACACAAAGGAAAGGAAAGGAAAGCTTGGCAATTTAAGCTTAAAATACAAAACTACATCGGCCATTGCAAGTTAAATTAAGTGGTGCTGGAAGCAATACTCTTTAAGACATGAGAACAATCATTTTTAAAGGTCAGCACTAAAGCATAACCAACTTGCTTTTCTTGGCAGAACAAACATATGATTTGAGGTTCAGATAATTATATTGCTCTGCAGAGGAGAGAATAAATGCCTTCATCAGAAATGAAAAAAATACTTTAATGCAGAACATCAGAATAATTTGTGGAACCATTTTTACAGGAGATCAGAGACTGGATAATTGGAGCTATGCAAATTAATGGCCTAACCTGAGAAGTCTTATTCAAGTGTGTAGAACAGTGCATGCAGAAGTATTCATTAAAGTCAAGGGGGCTACTTGTGCTAGCGAGGGCAAGTTCAAGGACTAGCTCTCTTTTATATGCTAGTAGGAAGGAAAATTAAATGTCATGCTTCGGGACATAAAACTGATTGCTTGAAAAAGTCAGGAAGGGCACTGTTTTCACTTTCATGTGGAGTAATGCACATCGTGTTTTTTTTTTCCTACACCTTTGAAGTCTCAGGTATTGGTCAATGACAGAGACAGGAAAATAAATTATACATAAACCTCAGAATTTTAAGCTGTCTGGTCCTAACTCCATCCAGAGAGAGCATTACGTGTTTAATGTATAATATCCTGGACGTGAAAGTGACAGACAACTCCTCTGTCTGTTGGACAATAACTGATCTCTTAAGAGCCACATTCGTGACTAGAGTGATTATAGTTGGCTTCATTAGGGCCGTTGAACGAGGTTTGTTTTTTCCCAGCTCTCTCAAAAAATGATGACAACAATTCAAATCTTAATTCCTCTGAAATCCAAAGCGCATAATCGCGTTAGGATCAGTCTCCCAAGCAGCCACTTATCAAACAGATGGTTTTTCCTAGCGAAAAAGAAGCCTGGTGCACTTCAGCACTGCTTGCTTTGTAAAATACCCAAGACTTCAATTTCCTGCCTTTCAAAGAATAATTCAATCCTAGTGATTAATCTTTAGTATCTACCTCCAAAAACACAATCTCCGACACACCGTGGACAACTTAAAGAAAACATGAGCAACCTAACTCGCACACACATGCTCAGCAGCTGAAATGCCTGCTTTATTCCTCTGTGCTCACATGCCCATAGCAGTAGGCTCTTTTTTCCTGCCACTGTTAAGCAGATAGGGACAGTTAATTAAACTGGACTAGCATAAAGGTCTCACCTTTATTTGTGCCAATGAATGCCCAACACTTCCTCTCTTGACAGCAATTTATTGTGTTTTCCTCCTCCATTCACCTAGCATAAATGTAGAGAACTGCACGAGATAGAAGGCAATGGAAAAATCAAGCCCTCGGAGTCTTAACATGGATAAAAGCCATGAAGAGGATATTTTACAGGTGAACTACACTAAGCATTCTTCACCTCACTGCACTGGATCATGCAGTGCTATATAAAAGCAATGTGATATTCCACTTCTTATTTTAATTCACCTTTTTTTTTTTTTAATAAATTCCTGCCTGCGAGGAAAATAAATCATAACATTGTAAGTGTCTTTTCAAAGCAGCCCAGCTCTCAAAATCTGCATTCTTAACGTTACCTGTAATTTTAAATGAAATCTAGTGGCACATATCTGAGTCAAACATATCCTCTGGTAGGAAATGTTATTGTATGTTCAAAGTCTTGTGTATGATTGACAAGGCAACTTGAATACTGGAGGAGGAGAAGGAAAGAGAGAGAAGGAATGAATAATCTCTTAAAGTCGGTCCTGGCTTCCTTGTTTTTAAAGCAACAGGGTTTGGGTCTAAGTGGCTTAGATGCTCAAGTTTCATCTGGTTTGACCGTGAGCCAGGGGACTGCCCTTCTTTGCATCCTTGGCAAAACCCAAAACGTAGAATAATCTCGCTGTAACCGGTTGCATTAGAAATGCAGTTTTGCCGAAATGCAAGGTTTCAATATTAACAATGATTAGACTTCAAGGGCTGATTCACAAAGATGAGATAATACTGGGGCTTTTTCATAGCTGCTCACAGATGCTTCCCACCCTGCAGCTAGCTAGCAGCTGAAGAACAGAGTCATATTTAACATATCACTGTTACTATACCCTCAGCATCTGAAAATAAACCCGATTCACAGAGCTGATTTTAATGATGCGAGAAGTGTGGGTTAAATAAGAATACATGGCTAAGTGAAAGAGAAACAAAATCATGAGTTACTCTTCTTTGGGCGTTCTGGATTTTTTTTTCTTCCCCTTCCTTTTCCCAAGGCACACATCACACTGCAAAAATGTTCATTCACAAAATAGAGTCTGACATTTGGGTAAGAAGGCGGACTTCAAAATAAGTCCGCCTAATCACCCAACACAGGACTTGAGAAGCTGCACACAAATTAACTTTCATCTGTTCCTAAGGCTACTGCATAGACAGGAAGGGATTTGGGGGAAAAAAGTTAGTTGTCAGGATTCAGGAAGAGCAATTATTTTTTTGCCTGTGATCTTTGTGGGGAGATTAACACCTTCTTTGCACTTCTGGTTTTCACTAGGCCAGTGCAGAACTGCTCTCAAGTTTCCTTCAAGATGAAGACTGAACAGGTAAGAAAACACTCTTCAGTCTGTCTTTCTGCTCAAGACAACTTGAAATAATCAACTCACCTCGTTTTTCCTAACCTACGGGCAGAGAGAGTGTTTCAGAAGGAGGGACAGGCTGGCACAGAGCCTGGAGTGGATAACTTAGGGCACGAGATTGCGCAGGGACTGGAGAAAATACAGCCAACAGATACTGCATTTGGCTTGCTGTCCTTTTCCAATAACACTGCCGCTCGCCACCCTGCATCTAAATCAGCTTTGTCACAGCACATGACTCGTCTGGTTTTTTCTGGAGATACATAATTGAAGCACTGTGCTACCATTCTGTTGATTTTTGCAGGTTATTTGCTGTCTGGACTGTAGGGTGTCTGTCCCTCTGGGGATGGGACAAGCAGGACAATAGGACGTGAGACAACTGAACCTTATCCTTGAAGAAGACAGGATGTCATGGAGTCCCCAGACGTAGCTGGGATGCAGAGCCCAAAGAGGTGGCTTTGCAGGGACAGGGCAGAAATGCAAAACATAAGGCAAAACAGCAACCACAGCCCCACTGTTTCAGCTTCCAGTGCCCCAACACGTTACCTGTCGTGAACCTTGGCTTAGTGGGTGGCTCCTGTACAGACATCGGGAAGGTGGCCGAGGCAGGCGAGGACTGCGCACGGGACAGAGGCCGATGCCCTCCGAAAGAGACGGGCATGCCAGCTGCTTCCAGCGATGCCTGGTAGTTTCTCAGCTGGTGAATACGTTGCTGCTCCAACAGAAGGGCTTGCTGCAGGGAAAAGAAGCTGGGAGTTGCTAAAATTCTGCGTGGTGCTTTCATAAAAAGGTTTTTAAGGTTCCCAGGCTTGGACTCATTTCCACGATAAACGAGCGGATGCACAGGCGTGCAGCAAATGAAGGGGTGCACGTTTCTAGAGCGCAGTCACGCCAGCACAGTGCATTCAAAGCACAGCCCTGGAGCTGGTGCACACTGTTAGCAGAAGCAGACCCATCCTCTCCCTGGGACCTTCCTCCCGCTGCCCTCCCAACCCGCTGCACTGGTGCATTTAACAGTGCGATGCACCAGACCAGGAATGTGTCCAGCTCAACCGGACCCCAGGCAGGAGATGGAGTTTTCAGCCGAGCTGGTTCTCTGCACAGCCAGACCATCAGCTGGTCAGGCTCTGGTCAGAAGGGATGGCTGCAACCGCAGACTAACAACCCTCCCCCTCCTCTATTTATTCTCCCATCCTCTTTGAGGCAAAATAATTGCAGAGGGGGACAATATTTTTAAGATTCCTCAGGTGTGACCATACATCTAGGACTGGGGCAGTGGGGGCTGCACTTTCAGAGGAACAGTGTCACTGTGGTCCAGCATTAGCAGCGTGTTACCTTTAATTTATGTATTCATTCCCTAAGGCAACAAGGCTCAGATGTGACCGTATAAATCAAGTAACACTTTGTACGAGCACGGCTGGCAACGGCATTGATCTTTCAAGGCAGCGCCGTTCTGAAGAGAACTGAAACTGAACTGAAAACGCAGACCCTGAGCACAACAGCCAGAGACGTTCGTGCGGGACAGGCGAGTCAGCTCCGCAGCACTAGGGAGATGGCAATGAGATGCAGATGACCGCAGGGAGCAACCGATTTGCACCCGATTCACGGACGCTGCAACTGCAAACCTGGCACAAGTTCGCTTTCCCTAGCCAAGGGCTGTGGGTTTACTCGGAGAGCTACACCCTGGCATGGCTACAGCAATCGGCTGTTGGCTGCAAATCCCCGGGCGGGGGTTACGCACGGTTGTACCTACAGTCCGATGCTGAGTGCTAAGAGCTGCGAGGATGAGTACTCATGCCTTAAGAGAATTGTAACCTTCTTACCTTCATTACTGCTACCACAACAGGCAACTTTTGGGAGACTGCCATGTAACTTGGAAGATTACACTACGCTACGTTGTTATTGGATTTATTACCTGCAATCCACGAGCCTCTGGCTCTTACCCTCAAAAGTGAGCATAGCTGGGGTCTCTGGGATCTCCAGTTCTGAAGAAGGAAACCCTTCCAATGACCCACGTCCCCCGTGTCCTTATCCAGCCCTTCTATGAGACAGTCAATTTGTCTTACACCATAAAGGCCAAAATAAAATCCTCTGCTAGTATTTAGTGCTCAAAAAAGTTAAGACATACTTTTTCTTCCCAAACAAAGAAAAAGTGGTTCAGTGGCTGCAAACATGTTGACTGTGTTTTGTGCAGATGATCCAGATTCTCCTCCATGGGACTTTTGAGTGGACACAGTGACTCCAGGGAAGGATGGCACTGATTTTACCTGCAGGTTTCTTTATGTAGCACATCCTCAAGAGCTGGTTCCCCCAAGTTTCTCCCCCTTAGAGTAGTGTAAGGTGACTACCAAGAATCAAGCAATCTACAGAGAAGACCAAGACCCAACCCTGGTATTCTGCGCGATCACCTGACGGAAGAGCAGCTCCTGCTCAGCCTGCCGCTGCCCAGACTCCAGCTCCTGCTGCGGTTCTGCTTCCTCCTCGTCGCTCTCAATGGGTTCTTGCTTCACTTGCACCATGTTGGCCAGCCCTGGGGCCTCCTTTTGGCTTGCGACTCTGTCGCTGTATGGCTCCTCCAAAAGGGCTTGGTGTTCCCGTAACTCTTCTTCTGTCTCCTCGGGGTGGCTTTCATGCTGGCGAGCTGGTTCGTTGGGTTTTGATATAATCTGAAAACATGCCAGAGGTTAAGCGATAAATAAAAATGTAACTCATCACAGGTAAAGTTCACCCTGTTCTCCTCAAAGAACCAGCTTCATGAAAAGAGCAATTCTGAATTATAGCTTTTATCTCATAAACTAGGTCCAAAACAACTGCTCAAGGGAAAGGTCAGGGTAACCTTGGCATTGAGCGCTGTGAATCCTGTGTCCCAAGTAATGGCAGCCC